AACTCAAAAAACCAGGTGGCGTTTCGCCCGCGGGGTGCGTGGGGCGCGAGCGGGACGCAGCACACAACAAAACAAGCCCCCCCCCATCTTATCCCCCCCCCCCCCCCCCCGAAAATGACTCTCATGTCCAAACACAATTTTTAGTCCATTCAAGATGATTGTTTTCTAAGTTTTCTCACATTGCATGTTTTCTGGGTTATTATTCCATTATTTGCATTTTCTCTAGAAAAAGTTGTAACTAATGTAATTTCCAGCCACTATGACTCGAAGAAGATAATATAAACCGATAAATGAAAATGTGTTTACATTTTTTATGATTAAAAGAGAGTAACCAGTTATTGCTTTGGTGTGTTCCAATAATGGAGCGACTAGCCGCTGCTCCGCGAAATTTCCTGAAGGAAAGCTTTAGGCTGTTGCGATCCATCGAAAAATATCTACGGTTTAGATCTGGCCAGTTTCAATAGGAACCAGAACTGGCAAAAAAACTAGCTGGCATTTTCAAATGAAGTGTGAGAACAGTTGTACTTCACGTACATAGTATCTCAACAGAACATTTGATGAAAAATATAATGCAAATAATTTAGGTCAGTCCATTCGAAGTAGATTTGAATGATATAAAATTAGTTTCTCTATCGTTACGTGTCCTTCTCCGTGTGCATTCAACTGTGTAACTTTATTCTGATATTTTGAAATTTACTGTCTACTTCAATGACTACTTTGAGTATGAGCGTCACTTAAGTGGCGTATTTCGACTGTAGATCTGATGAAATATGATCCATTTTAAACTATAAGTTCAACTTAACATGCATTTTTCTAGCAAACACTAGCAAATGATATTGTCGGCTGATGTGCTGGTAACTATGCAAATTTTATTAGAGTTTTCTAGAAGTAGCGTGCATTTTCACGCTAGTGTCGTGAATGTGTTTTCGTTGTCGATTCTCTCTGTAAATTGAATATAATCTCTTTTCTCGGAACATGTTTATATTGTTGCCTTAGTGTAGTGTGTTTAGATTTCCATTGAATATTATTGTGTGTGTCTCAATTGGGTGGAATGAGTTCATAACAAAAAGTATCGTACGAACACGCATATCATCGTGCACAACGACATTCATGCGAATGTCAATATTCTCACACGCACGCCTACGCTTTTTCAAACGTTCAGTACTAACTTTGTCGACGACTGTAAAGTAGTATATAATATTGAAACATCTAAATATTCAGTCGGGGGTCAAGCGAGTCACACGAACGAGCGTTTCACGACGCATCTTTCAGAAAAAAATAACAAGAACATCCGATTTCTATGCTGAGATTTTTAGGAGATATTAGATGTTGCAATCATTATGCCTCACCAACCTGTTATTATGCTCATTTTTATTTTTAACACAACTGCTGAATGGCTGTACATCTTTCTCTGGCCATCGTGAATATACAGACATCTGTTTCTAAAATATATTGCTCATTGTGGAAACGAGTTTTCAATATTCTGATCGTAATATAGAAATACATA